CAAACCCGGCAAAGCCGCAGCTGCTCTGCATAGGAGCTGTGTCACAAGCACCCCTCCAGCCTGCTGGGAGAGGCACCCTCAGCCCAGCAGCACGGCACCAAAACCCATCCCTTGTGGCACTTTGGGGTGTGCCAAGCGAAGGCTCCAGGCCCTGGTGCCCATGGTGCATCTCACACAGCCCAAACGAAGCTGGGAGCTCAGCTGTGGCACAGCATGGCTCCCTTTTTGCCTGGGATGCAGTTTATTGCCTCTGTGCTCCCAAGCATGCACCAGTTTCTGATCCAGATCCAAACCCAAGTCAAGGTGTCGCCTGTGATTTAGAAAGGGCGTTCTGCCTCAGGGCCCATCTCTAAGGGCTGTCAGCTGGTGGAGCACAAAGAGCCACCAAGCAGCAGCTGGGGCCTGGGCTGGGCATGCAGCAGCCCCAGATAGAGAAATCAGCACTGCTGGGATCACTCAGTGGCTGGTTTAGTCTCGTCTTACTCATGGAGATCCTTGGGGAGATGCTTTATTTAGTCAAACACTTCTGAAAGGGGGACTGAGAAGCTAGCTAGGCTTTGCTCCACACATGGCACATGTCTGGGAGGGGAAAACTCTGTTGTGTCAGGCACCACTGAAGTCACTTGGACCTGCAGCTTCAGCACAGCAAAGTTCCCATTCCTGGATGGCTCCTCTGGCAGACAAGGAGCTGACCTGGCCACGAGGACCCAGCCAGGTCCTCCAGGTCCACTCCAGACCAAATCCTGTATGAGAGGATTTAAGAGAGCGCCCAGAACTGTGCCACCCTTGTGAGAGGTCACAGCTGTCTGCAGCACAGTGACCATTCCCCATCTGCAGAAACTCAAGGCAAGAAGGAAGCAAGCTTTTGCTCTTCTGCAAACCCAAAGAAGTGTGATTTTCTGAAGGTGGTGAGAAACAGCTTCGGATAGCTCTAATTAGCAAGGTGGTGTGTGAGATAATCCAGCTTGACTGCTCTGTGCTCCACAGCTGTCCTGGGATGAAGGCAGAGTACCATCACCAGCGGCTGGAGCCCACCCACACCCCTCCCCTGTGCCTGCCTGCCTTCCAATGATCTGCAGGATAGTGAGGAGGGATATTTTTGCATGAGCTGCTGGTCCAAAGTTGCCAGTGCTATTTCAGGCAGCAACACCTACACTGTAATCCAGAGGGCTGTATTTTCCAGCGGGCACTTCAAAATCCGACCTCCCTCCTCCCCTCACAGGCCAGCTCCAACCAACCTGGCTCCAGGATAAACAGCTCCCAGCATTACGTGCCCACTGAGGCCAATGCCACAGCCCCAGCACCTTCCTGATTCACACTGGGACCAAGACACCTTTGAACTAGAAATGAAATAAAATAAATACCTCATCTCACAAGAAGTACCAGCTACAACAACAGGTCCTCTGCCTGCAAATCCTCCCAGGGATCTGCCACCACCAGATTACCTGCCCAGGCTAAGCTAGCTAATCCTACAGGCGAGTGGCAGAGCTCGTCCTGGAGCTCAGCAGCGTTTTCGGTGAGGTGCTTCAGGAGATGTACAAGCTCTAATTAAAGCTACTTTGCAACTCACTGCATATGGAGGCAGGAAGACATTTGTTCCTCTGTGAAAGCAGAGAGCCTGGACAGGTTAAATCCCCACTCTCCTGTGTGCAAAATATCTGCACATAAGTGTTTCACACAGGTAGAGGGGACTCATGCAGAGTGGGAAGGAGATGCTGACACAAGGTACCCCTAAAGAGCAGGAGGATGAGGGCCACAAGCCCCTTTGTGGATTCAGATCAGGAATTGTTCCAGTGGGGATAATGCCACCAGCTCCTTCACCAGTGAGAGCCAGCACCGTGCCTTGCACCTATTTTCTCCTCCTTGATCTGTGTGTGTAGGCACAAAGGAGATATGAGACCATCCAAAATTAAGGAGCTAGAAGATACAAAGAAAAGAGGCAGGAGGAGAAGCAATAACAGGAATTGTTATATAACAGCATGAAAAAAACCCAATAATACTCCCTGTGCAAAAGAGGTTTCAAGATGGACAAGTGGGTGGTGAGACCTGCAGGATGCCAGGCCCCAGGAGCAGCTGCTCCCCGTGTGCCAGAGGGATGAAAACCATGGCTGGGCAGAGCTGCAGAGGCTGCACCCTCTGAGGTCTGCAGGTGGGGAAGTTCCAGCCTTCAGAGCCTGCCCAGCAGTGAGATGGCCAAAGTGAGAATCCCCTCCCTGGATCTCAGCTCAGGGGCACACAAGAAGCAGCCCAGCTCAGACCCCACACAGCAGGCACTCAGACTGGCATTCCTGCTCTGTCCCCACACCCCAGGCCAGCCTGCTGTCACCTCAGCCCTCCTGGCTCTGCTCAGAGAGGGTCTGGGTCCCGTGCAGAGTCTCAGCACCCACTTTCTGTCCTCTAAGTGAGATGTGCAAACAGCAGAGGCTGCTCCTTGGAGAGGGACAGGGATGCTCCCATCACAGGTCTGGTCCTGCATCGCATCCCAGACCTCAGCACGCAGCAGGAGCAGGAGACACACAGCATCTCAGCCAGTGAGAAGGGGATGAATCACTGGAAAACAGACCCAGGCACAGAGCCAGAGCAGGGAGAAGATGGTCCTGTGAGGCCTCCATCTTTGGGAGTGGGGGGATTGGAGCGATCAGAGCCACAGGGTTCTCCCTTCCCGCTCCAAAGTGACCCCAGCATCTGTCCCCCAGCTCTGTAACATCCCTGACACAGCTGCAGCCCAGCTGTCCCTCAGAGTGCCCCTCATCACCCCCATGAGCAGCAATACCCCTGCACCCTTTTGGATCTCCCCTCCCAGCGCAAACCACAGAGCAGGAAGGCAAACTGTGGGTTCCCAGTTCCCACACCTTTCCAGCAGCTTGGGTGCTACAAATCAGACTTTCCTGCCAGGAAAGTCACCTTCAGAAGTAACCTCCCAGCTGGACCAAGAGCATGAAGTGCTCAGGGAACCACCAGTTCATCAAGCTGAGGCTCCCATTTCATCTTCATCACCAAACCAAACCACACCTATGACATTTCCCCACCACCAGCTTTTATTTTTCCTTTGGAATCTGCCATCAAGCTCTGCTGAGACGAGGCTCCCACCAATCTGCAGTGTCCCTCAGCCAGGGAAGCCGAATGAGCCCGTCAGAGCCACACAGAAACAAAAGCATCAGCTCCAAGGAGGTGTCACGACAGAATGACAACCCTTAACTTGTTGTTACATCAGCCCACACATTAACGCTTTGGGCCTGAGCCAGGATGCCACGGAGCAGCCTCCGTTCCCCTTCAAGCCAAACCCTGCTGCTCAGAGATGCACAGGTTCAGAATCCTTTATGATTTAAAAAATAAATTAAAAACAATAAAAGCCACATACCTTTTGCTGTGTTTTCCCCTGACAGCGAGACCACAGTCCTGAGAAATTCCCCCATTTACTTTCCTCTCGTCTCTATCACAGCTCTTTCCCTAAATCCTCTCTGTCCACGATGGCCCATATACAGATGCACATGAAATTAGTGTCTCCCAAATTAGTTTTCTTGCACACAGTCCTAGCCCATTTTCCTCAACAACATTATTGTGATATGCAAGGTTCCACCTTTCTCCCAGGAAACGCAAGCTTCTAAATTTATCTTTTGGATAACTAAAAAAAGAGACAGGTCTGGCTTTCACAATGTGGGGTCAGCAGTCCCAAAAGGCAGAGTATTTGCCCCAGAAACACTCAGTTAATACCACAACAACACCCACCACAGAGCAGAACACATATGGTCATTACAGAGCTAAGTATAACTTGACAAAGTACCTTGCTTTTAATGAGGCAAAAGGCCAATTAGCCTGATGAGGATGCAGTGTACTGACATTGAGTGGGTTGCCTGGATTCCCTGGAGCTACACCCTGTGTATCCTCGTAGCACAGCAAACACGAGGAATCCAAACCCCTGCTGAGGGCACGGCGCTCAGAGCTCTCCGGGTTAACACCGTCCTTCTCCAGATTTTGTGACATAGTATCCAGCATTCAGGCTGGATGAAGGGCCAGCCGTGCATTTTTGTCAGCTCGGATCCAAACCCTGGGAAAATGCAGGCATTGTGCTCGCCCGGTCCCCACCGCCCAGCCCTTCGCAGGTGTTCACCTGCCAGAGGACAGCAAGGAAAACCCAGGAACAAAAGCAGGGACGCTCCGGCGGGCGCTTCCCGCTGAAGTCATTTCATAACCGCGTTTCCAGAGGTGCTGGAAGAACAGCACCAGCCACCGCACGAGAGCCGCGATCGGAGACACCGAAATGCGCGGAACGAACAAAAGAAAAGCCAACTTCCCCCCCGCGAGGCCGTTATTTTGGAAGAAGCAAAACTTCCCGGCTCTTAGGGCACACCTGGAGCGCTGCCCCTGTCCCAGCCCCGCATCCCGGGCCCGGCCCCTCCGCAGCGGGGAACGCGCTCGGGGCGGGGGTCGCGGCCGGAGCCACCGGAGCCCCCGCAGGCCGGGAGCTCTCCCGGCAGGGCTAAAACAGCCGAGACCCCCGAGGGGAGAGCACCGGCACCGCGCTCAGAGCGGGGGCTCCTGAATGGCATCACCGGGCGGCCGCGGGCTGCGGGCGCTCCCCGCACCGGGCCCGGGGCTGCGCTGCTGGCGCGGGGCCGGCCCGGGGCTGCGGGACCTTGAGCGGGGCGAGCGAGGAGCCCCGGGCCCGGGGGCCGGGGGCAGCGCGGCTGCGGCGGCCGGGCCGCGCGGAGCGCATCGTATCGTATGCATCGCATCGCATCGCATCGCATCGCATCGCATCGCATCGCATCGCATCGCCTCTCCCCCGGTGCAGGCGCGGCTCCCGGGGCCCACCGGGGCTGAAGTGGGGAGCCGATCGCCGTGCACCTGTCCCCCGCAGGTCCGAGCCGTACGGACCTGTCGCCCCGCGGCTGCCCGGGACGCGGGCCAGCGCTCCCCGGCGCCGCTCCGCCATCGCCCCCCGGCGCCGCTCCGCCATCGCCCCCCGCCGCCCCCCGCCGCCGCGGCGCGGCCCGTACCGCAGTCGGCGCAGAGGATCCGCGCCACGTCCCGCTTGTGGCTCTTGCTGCTGGTGTCGAGCGGAGCGAAGGCGGTGCGGAAGACGAGCGGCTCCTCGGTGGGCTCCAGGAAGAAGATGTAGCGGTGGTTGCGCTGCACTTTGAAGCAGGGCGCCTTGGAGCCCACGCTGATGAGCTGCTCCCGCTTCAGCCCCCCGCTGTTGTGGGCCCACAGGTCGAGCACCTTGACCAGGACACCCCCGGCGGGCCCGGCGCCGCGGCTGTCATTGCCGCCGGCGGGGGGGCCCACGGACTGCACCTTGCCCTCCACCACCACCGCCGCCGTGTACGCCTGCTCCTGCACCGACTTGAGGCTGGGCGAGTAGCAGGCGAGGGAGACGCCGAAGAGCAGCATGGAGAAGCCGGGCGCCGGGTCGCGCCTCATGCCGCCGGCTGCCGCTCGCTGCCCGCCGGCCCTGCGGCGGCGGCCGGGCTGCGGGGCCGGGCTGCGGGGCTGCGGCGCGGCGGGCGCGGCGGGGCGGAGCGGAGCGGCGCGACGCGGGGCGGCACGGCACGGCACGGCACGGCACGGCGCGGGGCGGCACGGCACCGGCACGGAGCGGCACGGCAGGGCACGGCACCGGCACGGCCTGGCACGGCGCGGCCGCGGCACCGGCACAGGCAGTGGCGCGGCGCGGCGCGGCGCGGGGAGGAGGCGGGATGCTCCAAAGACGCCCCTGCCCCCGGGATGCTGACCCCGCACCCCCCCGGAAAGGTGATTCCCTGCCCGGGGACTCCCCCCGGGGATGCCCGCTGCGGAGGGGATCCCCGCGTCCCTGGGGGTCCTCGGGGATGGAGGCAGATCGCGTTCCCTCCACCCGGCCATGGAGGCGGCCCCTCGACAGCCCCCCGGCGCTCGCAGAACCCCCCTTGTCCCCGCAGAGCAAACCAAGGATGCGCTCATTGGGGGCGGCTGCAGGTGACACGGGGGTTCCGCGATGCGCAGGGCTCGGGAGCCGGGGATTCCTCTGTGCCCGATGGTTTTATGGAGCTGGGAGATTTGTGCCCGAGATTCCCTGCACCCCTGAAGGAAAGGCATTAACATAGAGACAAACGGAACCCACAGCGGCCGGGGAGACAAAGCCGCCTTTCATGCCCTGTTCCTGCTGCCTCTCGTTAATAAACAAATGCTTTTCCCTGCAGTGGCTTCCAGAGGAGACGCTTTAAGCTCCAAAAGGTGCTTTTTTGGTTTATTTTCGAGGCTGATCCTGAGGCATCTGCGCTCCCAAAGCCTCGCTTGCCCAGGCAGTGCGGGAGGGAGCGGAGATGCTCAGTTAGCAGCAGCAGGGGATTTTGTGGTGCTTGTTGTTGCACTGGATTCCGCGCTGAAGGGGAGCGGCCATAGCCCCATCCCACGGAGGTGACCTGGAGGCGGCAGGGCGATGGCTCTGGGCACAGACTACAATAGCCCCAGAGCCTTTAGACCTCCAGGGAAAGCCCCCAGCGAACCTCGAGAGATGACAAGAGCTGTGTCTTTGAGCCCATCAATGAGAGCAAAGCAGCACAGATGGCAGGATCGGGATTTGCTTTCCATTTAACATAGCGCAGGCAGAACCATCAGGAAAAGCGGGAAGGGAGCAGAGCGGCTGTGCCCAGCCCAGCCCAGGCGTGGGGCGTCGCCTCTGCTGGTGTTTGCCCGGCTCGGGGCGGCAGGCAGCGCTGTCCCACCGCTGGCACACGGGGCACAGCCCCGCACTCGCACCCGGGGCTCTGCAGCTCCTTCTGCCAGCCCGGAGCGCTGCTCTCCCCTCTCTGGGAGCGCTCTCAGAGCCGCGTTCCCATTGCGGGGCCGCGGTGCACGCAGAGGGCTCAGGGACCATTCACTTCTTGTATTTCCCCTCCTCTAAGCGTGATTTTCTGTGGCTTTTTGGTCTCAGATGTTTCTGAAGGCTTTCTCTCTCCCCCTGATTGGTGCCCATGCCCAACTGCAGAGAAATGCAGGGGGAGGTAGAAGGGAGCATAAGTGTTTCCCACAGCAGAGGGAAGAGCAGCATTTTAAATTCAGGAAGCTGCTCGGAGGAGCAGGGAAACCACCTGACTTCTCTCATCTTTTGACATAAATCTCTGTGGAATTTCCCCTTTCCCTATCATTTTGCTCAGACAGCAACTGAGGCTCTGCCTGCAAAGGAAGGAGATACCTGATAGCATAACTTGATCTGGAGCTCGCCTGCTCTGCCCTGGCCCTCAGCAGAAAGGGCACTTTCATGCCCAGGCAGCTGAGTTGCTAATCCTTGTCTGGTTTTGCAGGCTGAAATCCCAGCGAGACCACAGCAGTTCTCCACTGAGAAATTCAGTGCAAGATACCTGTGAGGCCTCTGGGGTAATTTAGAAAAATTAGGGTTTTCCTTGTCTCTGAGGCATTTTGAAGTCCAGAACACTTAGCCTCAAAAAAAGGCTCTGGTCACATCTCCTTTGAGCAGTATTTTTCCTGTTGTTCAGCCTAACTCTGGTTTTCATCACTTGAGACACTTGCTTTTCTCTTATCATTTCAGAAATGCTTTAGGACTAAATCCCTCTCCCCCCTTTATGCTGTTCTTCCCATATAAACGGAAAATCATTATTTTCTATAGGTCCTTGGGCATTTTGACATATGAAAAAAATAAAGCAAGGTCCTTGGTGCAGTTACCAGAGCAATCTGAACATTGACTTTGAGAGAATGAAGCCGAAATAAACGATTTTAAAAATATTTTCCTTCGGTTGAGGGGAACTGTTGGCAGGGAACCCAGGAGGTCTGTGGTTTCTTTAAAGTCCTTCTCTCCCCTCACTCCCTGCTGTGAAAACCCATCATATTTGCCATCCTGGCAGTGAGATGGAGAATCTGAGCTCAGCCTGGATCCCACCCCGTCTGGAGGACCCCAGAGCTCAGCAGCACCATCAGAGGTTTTCATTCCTCAGGCAAGTGCTGTGGGGGCTGGTTTTTCTTTTACCTCCTTAAATTCTGTTCCTGCAATTTCCCAGAGATGCCTGAAAACAAAGCACCTCTCAGGTCTGTCCTGGCCTCTGCCAAGGGAGCTGCTGGCACAGAGCCCTGCCTGGTGCACAGGGCAGTGTCCCAGTGTCCCTCCCCTCCTCAGGCAGCCCTGCAGCTCTTCTGCAAGGACTGGCAGCCGGGCTGTCCTTCTTCAGCATCCTCCACAGGTTGCAGATGCTCAGACTCCTCTGTGAAAGCTGAAGATGTGTTCCTGCAAATCCCATGTGAGGCTTTTGGTGTAAGGAGGAACAAAGCAGAGTCACAGAACGTGCTGAGCTGGAAGGGGAGGCATTGAGTCCAACACCTGGCTCTGCACAGACACCCCAACAATCCCCCCCTGTGCCTGGGAGCATTGTCCAAAGGCTCCTGGAGCTCTGCCAGCCTCGGGGCTGTGCCCATTCCCTGTTCAGTGCCCTCAGAACCCTCTGGGGAAGAACCTTTCCCTGAAATCCAGCCTAGGACAGGCCCAGCCATTCCCTGTGTTATCCAGCACAGGGCTGTGCTAAGCTCTTGCCCATTTCAGGCCAGCCTCAGAACCATTCACGCATTTCCAGGGTGTCCCCACCTCCCCCAGCCCTTCCCAGCTCTATCCTGGTTCCTGCAGGGAGCCTCAAGCCCTGCTGGTGTGAGGATGGCAAATACAGGAGACAAAATCCCATACCCCAGGCAAGGGAACATTGCTTTCCCTCTTATGGGACATTCCTTCCCTGCAACAATCAAGTGTTTCACAAAAGCCCCACAAATGCCAACAAACCCATTGCAACCAGGTTTTCCCACCTCCGTGTCTTCTCTGCCAGGATTTGGTTTGTTCAGTTTGGAGAGCATCATGTGGGACAGGAGCCAGCCCTTCCCCAGGACGCACCAGACTCCTGGAACCAGGGGAACACCACTACAGCCTCAGCTGTGAGAAAAGTAAGTGATAAATGATGAACACAGGAATTGTATGGAAAAAGCAAAGCCCAACACTCAGTCTGAGACTCCAGCCTGGACATTGACTAACCACAGAATCAGAGAATGGCTCAGATTGGAAGAAACCTTAAAAATAATGTTCATCTACCTATCTCCTGCCTGTTAATGTCAACTTCCAGACCAGGGGAAGGCAGAACTGAGGGTTGTAGGTGTAGGCACCATTTCTCTCCCAGAAACTGGGAGAGAGGCCTGACCCAGCTACCCATCCTTCCCTCAGCTGGGAAAGCATTGACCCACTGTAATCCCATGAGATGCTCAACAGTCCAAAGAAAAGTTGAGAACATTTGGTGTAGGGAGAAAAAGCAGGACTTTATTATGATGAAACCCACCCCAAAAAAAACCCTTTTATCTCTTGGCACATGGTGATCAAAAGGAAAAAATCAAAAGCAAAAGCAAGTGGTTTCCTCCACCTGGAAGAGAAGCTTTTAGGGTTCCCTCCAGCCCCTTTGTGACATGTTCACCTCAGCAGTAGGAAGGAAAAAAATGTACTCATCCTTCAAGGAAATGTGTGCCTCTTTTATTTGCTGCCCTCCCCGAGAAACTCATTCACTCCTTGTCCACCCACACAAGCAGGAATGATGAATGAAAAACAAACCATAAACAATTCAGCCTTCCCTTTTTTCCTCCCAGCCTTCCAATCAGATGTTGCAGCACCCAGATTTTGGATCATTGCTGTCGCGTGCCTTGGCTCGTTCCTTGGATACAGCTGCACCCAACACACGCACAGCAGCCCCAGCTCCTGCAGGGCTCCACTCAGGGTGGAGGAGCCTCTGCAGGGCACCCCTGCCCAGAGCCAGAGGGTTCCTGTGGTGGCACTGGCAGAGGTGGACACTGATGATCAGCCAGGCAGATTTTCATGTTCCCCAGAAGGACAGCAGTGCCAGGAGCTGAGATGGGTCACCAGAAAGGTGCCAGGGTGACCAAATGGCACCAGTGGGAGCAATGCTCCCCACAGGATGGTGTATCCCAGCCTGAGAGACCCTTCCATCCCAGAGATTCTCCCTGGGCTGGATTTCGCTGCCAGCCACTCTGATGATTCTCTGTTTCTCTCTCTTTCTCACTCTCTCCTTTCTCTCCACACAACCTCCTTACACCCCCCTGTGTATCAAATAACAATTGCAGCCACACCAGGGCAGCAGGTATGCCTGTGCACTTCTGAATTCCCTTCATAGGCAAAGTCCCCTCCCACTTTTGCCTGTTTTGTGTATTTTTATGTAAAAATATGCTGAGTGGGTGTATGCCTTATTACATGTGTAGGAAACATGGGGAATGAGGACTTGAGATACCACCACAATAAAAGAAGGGGACAAGGCTCTTTGGCTTTGCCCTTGATTCCCTGTTTAAATATAATTTGCCATTGTTAGACAAGAGAGGCTCTCCAAATTACTTCTGAGATCCAGGAGACCATTTCTGCAGCAACAAGTTACTGCTTGTAGGCAGCCTGTGGCTGGAAAATGCCCTTGATATTA